AGCATGATCCATGGCCGCTCAAGAGGTGCACTTCGAGTTCCAGCTGCTCTGCCGTTGTCCCTGGCCCTGAGTTTTGAGGTAATATAGGGGCTTGAAGGTTTAGGGTTTGGGCAGAAGCGGCCGACGGATAGGCAGCTACTCACATAGTGTACTGATACATACATGCTTGCTTTCTTACTTTCTTGCTTACGTACTTATATACATATAGGTTCACAGACGGACAGCGGCCATGTTGAATGTGCCCTTCTTTCTGAGGTGTCGACTGTTTCTTTGTAGCTTGCTCCTCATCTGGTAGTGGTGTTTGAGTCCTAGGGCCTAGGGCGCATGTCAGGGTTTTAGGGGTTAAAGACGTGGGAGGAGCGGTTCAGAGCAGCTGGTCGCAAAGACATTGCCCAACGTACCTCCCCCTATCCAAGAAAGAACAGGCAAGTTCAAGCGACACACGCTCCTGTAAGCCTTTCAAACCCAAGCATCTCGTCACAAGCCTAGGTTTTTTTGTCGGCGCCCGAAAGAGGGCCCTGCTACGTCCTCTCACAGATGGTGGAGAAGGCAGCCAGGGGTTGAGCCATGTAAAAGTTACAAGTAGGTCCATGTAGGTGCAGCACAGGTAGACAGATGGGTACACGGGTAGGTGTATGTTCGCATGTGCCCGTCAAGACTTGTACTGTAAGTTAGTACAGGGATGCACGACCCGTGCATTCTGTCGAGTCGACACGGGCATATTCATGCATGCCTTCCTTTGCGCATGCAGTATTTCGCGTATGCAAGCATATGCCATGTGCACATACACGCAGATTTACGGGTATTTCTGTACACATGCGCACACGAATTCACGGATACATACATACATGCATACATACTTACATGATTACATACACACCTGCGTCTACACATGGCCAAGAGATCCTTAGACCTCGGGCACTATCTTCCCTTGCCGCGACCCCGTCGTTCCTGCCCACAAAGTCAAACCCAGCCCGGCTATGCAGGCTTTGGCATTTGGGGTTTAGGGTTCAGGGTTCAGGGTATTCTCAACCCCAAACCCTACAGTAGAACAGCAGAGTTTACGGGGTAAGTTCATGCAACCAGAGTTGCATAGGGCGATGTCTTCCGTCAGTGAAGCAAAAGTAGCCCGCATGGGGATATGTAAATCAGCAGAACATATATAATGTGTATATTGATATGCAGATATAGAGGTTTGCAGAAGATATAGCAGGTATATTGATATGTAGAAACAAAGATAAATAGCTAGATAGACAGGTAGACCAAGTACAGGCGCCGCATGGGTGCGTACATAGGCAGTTGCATATAATCATATGTGTATATACGTACGTGAATTTGTGTGTTCGTATGTGTGTATGTCTTTGTATATGTATATTTACAGTATACACACAAAGAGATCCATTCATCCATTCGCTGTTCAATATCAACGCGAGCTGTGCAGCTGAGGATTGCGTTCCAGGAGGTGTTTGGAACACCTGGCTGCAGAGCAGCAATGGACAGCAGCTGGGACCGCCTAGCCGTTTGGATAGATATATATATATATATATATATATGTGTATATATACACATACACAACTATTTTTGTTTATTTCTTTATGTATTCATTTCTATACTGATTACAAAAACATGTATATCTATATATGTGTACGCATATATGTATATATGTATACATGTATATATGTATATATGTATGTATGTATATATATATATATATATATATATATATGTATGTATGTATGTACGTACGTACGCACGTAGGTATGTATGTATGTATGTATATGTATCTATGTATATATGTATATATGTATATGTTTATGTATGAAGCAGTCGAGGCCTGAGCTCCAAAGACCCTGAGCCGTCGAATCAAGAGACCAAGCTGTTTGCAGGGGTCCGCTGGTCTTTTTTTGGCAAATGTCACGTGCTGACTCCTTTGAGCAGCTCCAACCCGCGAAACTGTGGAGCTCCAAGCGTCCCGAAGCCTCCAACCAGAAGCCATCGATTGAGGCCTGCACCACCCCCGCCCCCTACTCTTGCACCGGCGCCACCGGCGGCAGCGGTACCGCCGGCACCGGTCTCACCAGCAGAGCCCCCAGTGGCTCGGATTGGCATTGATGACTCAGGGAGGAATGTCAGGACTAGGCCTACGCCCCGAGAGGGCTTCAAAGGCTGAGATAAGGCGCGTCCGATTTTCTGTTTAGATTTGGGTTTAAGGGGTTTCGATTCTGGGGGCTGGAGTAACCGCATTCTACGTATGGTAACATACTATAATATAGTATAACATGACATGCAACAGAGTAAATTATAAAACTGCAAAATCTCCAAACAGATGTGGAGCCACTTTCCCTATTGGAGTCCCGGCTGTCGGAGTCCAGGTTCAATCAGAGCATGCGCCCGTCGTGGTGACTGACGAGGCTGCAAAGGGTTCAAGGCTCAGGGCTTGGCGTCTATGGGACGTAGAAGTAAGGCCTGGCCTAACATTTCAGGTTTAGGGCGCAGCATCTGTATATTTTAGACATGGGTTTAAGGTTTAGGTTTGGGTTCAGAGTTTCGAGCTGGCGGCTGTTGTGCTGATCAACGCAACATCCTGTATCAACCGAAAGGTCTCTGTCAGTGCATCTTGACCAAGTTATGTGAACAGAAACACTGTAAGTGGATTCAAGCGCATAGATCCAGCCAGTACGGTGTGGGAGTGGGAAGTTCTTGAGGATGAGGCGTGGTTTGGGGACAGTGGAATTTGGGGTTTGGGTTTTTTGAGAGCATGCCCAGAGCCCATGGACGTTCTGCGCCCCTAGCCCTGAATCCCACGCCCCAGTCTCTTCGCTGCCTTTACCCTAGGTGCCTATGGGCTTAAAAGCCCGACACTCCAACCCTAACCTTAAATCTCTAAACCCTGAACCCGGAACCTTAAGCCCTAAACCTTATGACCCTAAGCTCTATAAGCCTTAATCCTAAGCGATTAAAAACCCCAGGCCCTGCGCGACGGAAAAAGACGTTCACCAACAAAAAAGGCCTCAATCCCCAAACCCTACACCTCATGAACCTAAACTCGAAGCCTTAGGCCCAAATGAAACGTTAAACCCAGGCCCCAGCCCGTAAGCCTTAATCCCCAAACCCCTAAACCCCAAACCATAAACCCTAAACCCTAAACCCCTAAACCCCAAACCATAAACCCTAAACCCTAAACCCCAAACCCTAAACCCTAAACCCTAAACCTCTGAACCCCAAACCCTAAACCCTAAACCCTAAACCTCTGAACCCCAAACCCTCAACCCCTAAACCCTAAACCCCTAAACCCCAAACCCTAAACCCTAAACCCCTAAACCCCAAACCCTAAACCCTAAACCCCAAACCCCTGAACCCCAAACCCTAAAGAAAGCGCCAGGCCGAGGTCAGGAGCTTCCCCGACACGGACGATCCGAAGCTTGGGCTTTCACGCAGCAGATCTACGCTTCGGGGTCCAGAGTTTACGGTTTAGGGGTTTAGGATTTTGGGGTTTGGGGTTTAGGGCTTAGGGGTTTAGGATTTTGTGGTTTAGGGTTTTAGGATTTTGGGGTTTAGGATTTTGGGGTTCAGGGTTTAGGGCTTGGGGTTCAGGGGTTTTCTGTTGAGGCTTTAGGGCTTGGGTTCCGAGTCTTCGGGTTTGGGGTGCAGGGTTTTTGGGTTGAGGGCTCCGGGCCTCCAGCGTTTAGGCTTTGGGGTTCAGGGTTGATGCTCCAGAGTTTCGGTTTGAGAGGTTGAGGGGTTGGACGTCAGGGTTTAGGAGGGTTCGGTTTGGGGTCTGGGGTTTTCGGCTGAGGGTTTGGGCTTCAGGGTGCGAGGTTTGGGCTTGAGGGTTTAGGGTCAGGGTTCAGTGTTTAGGTTAAGCTTCAGGCGAGGGTTTAGGGATTTGAGGTTTAGAGAGGGGTTTGAGAAAGAGGGTCTGGGTGATGTTGTAGCAGTCGGACCTGTTGTCACTACTACTCTTCTTCGACTTCTAGCGATGACGACGGGTTGCTATCGTCCTTTACATCGTTGATACTGTCGTCATTTACGTGTTTCTTGCTATTCGCTATGTGCTCTATCTTGATACAGATTCATTTGTTTATTGTTTATGATCTTTGTTTGTTTGTCTTATCTTCTTCATCGAGATAAACTTGGAACTAGCAGTCTGAGTGCTACTGCAGTACTGTGGACTTTTGGTGCTACCATCTGCATCATCAGGAAAAAGAAGCAACCAGAATGTGTTTCCGAGGAACTGGGGTTGCGGCCTCCTGGGGCACCTCCCGGGAATTACGGAGGCGGCCGATGCAGCCTCCGATGTTTCTTCTATGTTTGGTTCAGGGTTTCCTTTGCATGGAGGCAAGCCCTAAACCCTAAACCCTAACCCTAAACCCTAGCATATGCTGGTGTGTGGCATTGCCACAGCTTCGGCACAGCCTGTTTATCCCTGGAGCTCGCCTAAGCTTGAACGGCCTCATGTAGGGGCTTTAACAATCAGACAAGGGGCCGTGGGTATATTATACTATACTGTAGTTATATTATACTATACTTATATATATATATATATGTATATATATATATATATTATACAAAAGATATAACAAGGAACCCCCAAAACCCTGTTCCAATTCTTAAGGCTCCTATTACAGAACCCTTGCAGCAGCCCTTACAGCAACCCCTTTAAAGCAACCCTATGAAGCCCGACAACTGAGCTTTCCCGTCGTCTCTGCAGCCTTTTCATCTCAAGTCAGGGATGAACGGATCGGCAGAAACGATGCCCTAAGCCCCGAACCTCCCACAATCGAAGGTATGATAGTATGTTTTCCTTTAGGACAGGTGGTCCCTACGGAATCAAGGATAAATGGAAGACGTCCGTTTGCGGATCTAGCTAAGCCTTGCTGCTTCTGTTTCTAAACCCTAAACCCAAAACCCTAAACCCTAAACCCAAAACCTTAAACCTTTTGAAGTCTGCCTCAGCCCGAGCTCCGAGATGAACTGACCACGGATCGGACCAGAGAGCTATGGACCCTCTGGCTTTTCTAGGCCAGGGAGATCCCGGGGGTGCCAGTTCAGCTTGAAGGTTCTGTGTCTTGATTCTGGACGTGGCTCCAGTATGTAAAGATATATGATATGCCCCAAAACCCCGTGTCTGATTATTGTAAGCCCTTTGATGGCGCATATTGGCGCATAGAGGGACGGTTGGTGAGGGAACCGGATGCAAAACCTACTTGTGAAGCACTCGGAACCTGAATGACCCTTGACTTCTTCAGTCTTCTGCCACACCAGTTTTCCTGTTCAGGCGACAGTTTAAACCTTTGCCTGGGTTTCTGGTTGGCGAGCGGCGACACACTCGCGGAAGCCTTGCACTACCGGCACATGCTGCGTCTAGCCCGGACAGGTTTATTAGGAATGCTTCCCTAAACCCTAAACCCAACACCCTAAACCCCTGAACCCTAAACCCTAAACCCCTGAACCCTTAAACCCTAAACCCTGAGCATGAGGCCCAAAGCTGCAAACCCTTCCCTGAATCGTCGCAGGCGACAGCGGCTCCGAGGCAGATGACGATGAGACTGCAGATGACGAGAATGACCAAGGCGCTGCGACTACGGTTTAGGGTTTTAGGGGGTTTAGGGGGTTTAGGGTTTACAGTTTAGGGTTTAGAGTTTAGTGTTTAAGGTTCAGGGTTTAGGTTTTAGGGAGCCCCGTAAAAACACAGTTTCAGCTAAGGTAGCATGCAATTTAGTAGCTACATGTAGGAGTTTTGTTTCAACAATTTAACAAGCATCAAGGTCACCCCTACATGTCATCTACAGTCCCCAGCAGCATTCCAAACCATGCGGTCGAATCAACCCCCGTGGAACAGCCTTCAGTAGCTGAAGAAGCATATACCGCCCTTCAGGCACTTTCCAAAATTGAGATGCCCAATCTTGAACCTCTGTCTACGTACTTGGAAGCATGCTAGAAAGCTAGAACGGTAGTGCAACTGTGCCAACGCAAAGATGTGGCGAGCCTCGTTGGCATTATCATCATCATCACCTGTCGGAGCAACATCATTAGCGACATCACCATCATGAGGCTGACCATCATGAGCATCAACTTATTGAACTCTTCATTTCACCAACTTCAGCATCATATCATCATCACCATCACCACCATCATCACCGTCACTAGCATGTGGTTCGCCATCGTCGTCATCGCCATTTGGCATCATGCCCATCGGCCGCAGCCGTGCTGATCACCATTCAGCAGTATCATCGCGGTCGCCAGGCCATATCCAGCATCCAGCATCAAAAAAACACTGTGAGATCAATCTCTGTTGGAGTTATGTCTGTCCAGGGCCGGCAAAGCGCCCACGAATCGAGACCAAGGCCAGGACGGCGCAGACAAAGCACCTGTGAGGGTTTCGGTTGGTTGTGCTTCGATTGGAAATCAATCGACCACCACTACCTGCAACCACAACCACTGACAACAGCAACAGCTACAGCAGCAAGTATCATCAATTAACTTCTGCGCCCTGTGTATCTAATGTAGGTATGCAAGTTCGTCTAGTATTGTAGTGTACTGTGCCGGCATGTATTGCGGTGTCTTGTCTTGTTTTGTGCTGTACTGTATATCAGTGTGAACACGGCTGTATGTGTTGGTGTGTGTGTGTGTGTGTGTATGTATGTATGTTTGTATGTAAGTATGTAAGTAAGTATGTATGTATGTAGTCAGGTCGTTCGGTCGGTCGGTATGTGTGTATATACTGCATGCATGCACGGACGCATGTGCGTATGTTTGCACGTAACTAGTTAATATGTACGCATGTATGTGTGTGTGTAGTGTCTGGGTGCATGCATGCATGCAAGTATGTATGCATTCCGTGTAAAGCGTATTGCAATTGTGCATTTGTGTGTATATATGTATACACATACATATGTGTGTATAGCTACATGTCTATGTCCATGTCCCTACACACCCGTGCGCACACACACACAACACACACACACACACACACACACACACACACATCTCTGTTCGGAAAGAGCATCGTGTCACACCAAGACCGTATAATGTTATGCGAAAATTGCATGGCATGAATACAGCATCGCAAGTTTAAGAACTGTCTGGCACGGCTCATCTACCTATGGCTCAGAAGCAGCTCTAGCAACACCCCGAATCCCGACAGTCACTCCCCAGATTCGGACGTGCCGTCAGAAGCCGAAGGTCCCTGACGTGGGCTATGGGGAGCTGCAGCTTGCAGGTTTCAAAGGCGTGGAGCTCACAGAAACGGAGAGGCTCCCTGCCCGATTAGAGGTTTTTGACGGTTCTGGCATCAGGGTTGTTTAGGATTTTCGGGTAGAGGGTTTGAGGGTTTAAGGCAGTTCATTGTCCGGCAGGTGGTTCAGGGTTGTTGTCGCTCAGCAGTTGAGTTATTTCTCGTGCCAGGTACCTGCGCGATGTCGAGGGGCAAGAGCAGAGACGGAGCCAGGCGGCCGCGCCGAAGGCTCCGAGCGCGACGAAGGGATCTCAAAGAAAGGTTCAGAGTTACGGGTCTTGGTGACGCAAGTTGTGCTCAGTCGGCAAGTCCTACGGACGGTGATGAATCTCAATTCAACCACACCCCGTGATCAAGATCCAAACGCCCTAAATCCCTGGTCCGGCCCCCTTTTACAAATAGACGAGCAAAGCCCCTAAACTCGGCTGATCCGATTTGCTCCCCCCCCCCTCCCCTCTCCTCTCCGCCTTCGAGGCTCCTCCGAAGCCGAAGGAGCCGGAGCCGGAGGAGCCGGTGGTCTCTGGCCCAGAGATTTTCGGCCAGGAGGAGACGAGCCTCGCCTGTTTTGGCATAATTTTTTGCTATGAGTCTGAGTTGAGCCACAAGTTGCTTGTTTTTCGGAGTAAAAATCATGCGGTGTTGAAACTCAAGAACTAATAAAGCACAAGCTGGACCACGGCTGGAATCATAATGAAGGGGCATTAGGATCACGACCTTTGTTGGAATGAATTTCCACTGCGTCGGCTGGGCTCTTGAGAGTTCAGCGTCGGAAAGGCATTCATCGCAGGTTACGCTGTTACGGTGGCTGAAGCCGACCTCTGAGATACATAGAGTTGAGCACGGGAGAGAGAGAGAGAGAGAGAGAGAGAGAGAGAGACAGAGACAGAGACACACACACACACACACAAACACACACACACAGACACACAGACACACAGACACACAGACACACAGACACACAGACACACAGACACACAGACACAGACACACAGACACACAGACACACAGACACACAGACACACAGACACACAGACACACATACACACAGACACACAGACACACAGACACACAGACACACAGACACACAGACACACAGACACAGACACCAGGGGGGACACACAGACCACAGACACAGACACACACGACACCACACACAGACACAGACACATACAGACACAGACACCGCACAGACACATACACAGACACACAGACACACACACACACACCACACAGCAGACACACACAACAGACACACACACCGACCCACCACACACACACAGACAAACACACACACAGACACACACACAGACACACACACACACAGACACACACACACACACACACACACACACACACACACACACACACACACACACCACAGACACACACACACACATACACACAGACACACACACACACCACAGACACACACACCACAGACACACACACACAGACACACACACACACACACACACCACACACACACACACAGACACACACACCACACACACACACACACCACACACACACACACACACCACACACACACAGACACACACACACACACACACACACACACACACACACACACACACACACACACACACACAGACACACACAGACACACACACACACACACACACACACACACACCGACAAAGAGAGGGAGGGAGAGAGGGAGGGAGGGGTAGTGCCGGGTAGTGGGGAGACAAAGAAGCACGGAGCTGGTTTTCGCCTCATCTCCTCAGGATAGCGCCTCAGGAGCCCTCTGTGGAGGCTTGTCCATGCAAGCTGGACTAATATAGGGGCCTTTTTAATTAGAACAGGGTGTTGGGGCCCATTCTACCATAATTATCTTAAGGAGTCACCAAAAGAGTATGGGTAATTGTTTAAGCCCCTATATATATATATATATATATATATATATAAAATGTGTGCAGGGGCTTGTGGCAAGGGAGATCAAGGATCCCATCATGAATCCATGTTTTCCTGCAGTGCGCTGCAATTCTGATGAGCGTTCGGGGGAAGTTTGCTCTCTGCCCGTGTCCAGTACACCTAAACCTTTCGTGAGGTAATAGAGGGCATTTGGACCTGATTGGGATGTCCACAGCCCTCCGCCCTAAAAGTGTGCCTAAACCCTAAAACCTAAAACTATCCGATACCTCAAGGGAGTGCCTAAAACCTAAAACTAAAGCCTAAACCCTGAGTTTGTACCAAGCAGGTGAGACAAAGCGGCAGCCAGGAGCCAGTTCCAGCGCCCCTCTCCAGCTTCCGAGACTCTCGAGGTGTGTCCCGGCCACTCCTATGAAGGGATGCTGTCGGGTGCAGCATGATGTTACAAGTTGTTTTTGTTTTTGCTTTTATCCGTTACCTTTTGAAGTTCAATCCGTAAGCGCAGCGATGGTGATGATGCTGTAATTGCACATGGTGGTCGTGGATGTCGGTCGCCCCTTGTTATCACCGTTGCTGCTTTGCTGTGTTGTTGTTGATGATGCCTCTGTTGCTATGAGGAGCAGGAGGAAGAGGAAGAGGAAGAGGAAGAGGAGGAGGAGGAGGAGGAGGAGGAGGAGGGCGGAATGGTAATGCTGCTTAGCATGAGACTTTGATTTACAAGAAGAAAGGCGGTTCCGCTCACATCTAAGGGAATCAGATGTTTCGGGCTTGGGAGTTCCCTGAAGCTCACGAACCCGGGAGTCGCCGTCAGCTCTGAACCCTCGAAACCGGAGAGAACCTGAGTCCCCACACCTTGAAAGAAGCCTTCCGAAAGAGGACCCAAACCAATATCCCAGAGAAGACTTTTGAAACCCTAAACCCCCTACCCTAAAGGCCTAAATCCTGAACCCTCAAACTCCAAACTTCAAGCCCCAAATCGCACAGATCCCAAACCTCACCCTGTGTTTTGAGGTGCTTCCCACAACTCTTCAGCAGCCACTTCAAGAGCTGGGCTTTGATATTCCCACACCGAAGCTGGCTCAAGTCTACTACTGGGTCTCCGCAGTCTGTTTTTTATGGGTGTTGGATTTCGCAGGGTTGTACTTATCACCTATCGATTGTTTAGTGTCCGTTTTGGTAGAGTCTTCCGTGCGGAAGGACGGGGTCGTAAGTTAAGCGGTTTTGTAGGGTGGTACTCGTTTGGGATTTGCGGCTGTAGGGTACAGGGCTTCAGGTTTAAGTTGTTGGGCTTGGCTCAGGCAGCTAAAGCAAATCCTTGAAACTCTCAACCCTAAACGCCAAATCCCCAACGCTCGAAACCCCTACAGCCCTAAACACTGAAGCCCCAAATCCCTAAAACTCTAAACCCTAAATCCTTAAACCCCTAAACCATAAGACCCTAAGCCCTAATCATCCCTACCCATAGGCCCCAAAGTAGTTCCTTTTTGGGATTACCTTATCGAGTTCTATATATGAATCCCAAAAAGGAACTACTTTGGGGCCTATGGGTAAGCACTGAAGCCCTAAAACTCTAGACCCTAAATCCTTAAACCCTAAACCCTAAACCATAAAATCCTAAACCCTAATCATCCCTAAGCACTGGCTCCCTCAGGATTCAAGCGCATGCGATTCCGATCATCGCAGCCGGCAGGGACCTGGTAGGCCCGCGAGAAGAGGGCTGAGGGTGCGGCGCTTTAAGGGTTGTAGGGTTTAGGGAGTCTGGGTCGTAGGGTTTACGGTTTAGGGAGTTTGGGTCGTAGGGTTTACGGTTTAGGGTATGGGGAGTCTGGGTCGTAGGGTTTACGGTTTAGGGAGTTTGGGTCGTAGGGTTTACGGTTTAGGGAGTTTGGGTCGTAGGGTTTACGGTTTAGGGAGTCTGGGTCGTAGGGTTTAGGGTTTAGGGAGTCTGGGTCGTAGGGTTTAGGGTTTAGGGAGTTTGGATTGTAGGGTTTAGGGGTGTAGGGTTTAGGGGTGTAGGGTTTAGGGGTTTAGGGTTTAAGGGTTTAGGGATGAAGGGTTTATCGGTTTAGGGTTTAGGGATGAAGGGGTTAGGCTTCAGAGGTTCTAGGGTGGATGGGGTGAGGGTTTTGGGTTTTTGGGTTTTAAGCTTTAGAGCTGCATAATGGTGTCCGGTATGAGGCTTCAGGGGTTCACGATCCTTAGGGTCCCTTATTAAAAATGTACTTCAAGACCCTATTCCAACTAAGCCCCGTATACTATACAGGCGTTTTCGATTTGCGGCATTGGAGTGGAGGTCTGAGATTGTCAGATGTCTTTGCATCCCGGTGAGGCATATCCGCCACAGGGTCCGGCAAGACCTTGGCTTACCTGCTACCCTGCCTCTCATCTGCGAAGCATGCCCAACCCCCGCTCCCCCACAACCGCCCTCCCCCCACTAAACGCAGCCAAATCCCCAACACCCCCCATAAAGTTGGCTTCCGGGTCGTCGCTTCGGTGGTTTAGGGAATATTCCTCAGACTCGAACCAGCTACTGTACCCGCTCCAAATTCTTATATTCTTCAGCCTGGCTGATTGGTAATATGACTCCGTAGGGCTCCTCATTATGATAATGGTTAGTATAAACTACCGTACAGTCTACCCCAAAGCCCTGTTCAAATTAACTCTAAGGCCTTATATTGCAGTCCTCCCAATCTACATCGCGATCTGTTGTCATTGATGTGACGTTGCTTAAGGGGCCCAGCACCTAGGATCGTACTCTTTATGTGGGGGGTGCCCAATTCCTGAAACTCCTTTGCATCCCAAGCTCGTTGTGTACGTACTCGGGGTTTGGGGTTTGTACATGGGTAGTTGTCAAAACTAGCGCCCCTTTTTGGGTACCCAAAATATTAGGTGCCGTATTATATTATGGACCCAAAAAGGGATCCTAACACTGACAACCACCCACATGTTTAGAGGAGCAGTCCTCGTTGGAGCCTGAGGCTTTGCAAACATCCTTCGCAGAGTATGCCCGAACCCACTGCATGCTCCTCGAATGTTGGTTCCTTGGCTATGTACAGTCGATGGGAGGCCGTTTTTGCGCAAGCCTGGGGCTTGTGAGGAAGGTGCCTTGCTCTAATTTCCGAAACCAAGCTTCATGATTGCAGAATAGTCCTGCCGTCCATTGTTCTGCATCGCCACCGCCGTTACTATCACTAAGTATGGTGCAAAATCATTGGCATATGCTTTTCTTGCACAGCGCCTGTGGCATCTTTGGCCAGGACTGGGATATGTATTGCTCCTTGGGCGTTCTTTGCGCACCGCATCGCTTAAGGGTAGGTTAATGCAGCATATCTATGTAGATCTGACGATGCCGTCAGTCAAAGAGAACGTGTGACTCAAGCTTCGCAAAGTGAGAGAACCCTCCACAACTTTTCGCCTAGATGCATGGATGGGTTTTCATGGCACACCCCACACATGGATTCTTCGCACATTTCGGGTACAGGGTACGAGGCGAAATCGAGAAACCCTTAACAGAATCCTGTAAAGAACCCTTCTAGGACCCCTCTACATCCCTGAAAGGGACCCTTAGCTTAATGGTGCTATGGCTAAGTCTAGGTCCTTGGCCCTACACGCGAGCTCGTCGCTCAGATCCAGCGAAGTGCAGCCCGGAAGCGTGGCAGCAACAGGTGTAGGGCTTAATAGGGTTGTGTGTGTGTGTGTGCGTTTTTTTTCGAGCTTTGCATCCCAGGTCTTGGGGTTTTAGCTTTGTGCCTTCCTGGGTCTTTGGATGAGCAGTGCCAGGTTCTGCAAGAGCGCGGATTTGCTTCTGGAGACGGTGTACGGCGGTGCATCGAAGGCCTCAAGTACTCACTTGCATTGTTTGTTCCAAGGTTTAAACCCCAGGGATCTGAAACTATGAGCCCTATCTCGTGATCATCACATCATCATCATGATCACCGTTAACACCGTCACGACGAGACATTTAATGCCCGCCTGCATGACCAAGAGACATATTGGCTTGCCAATAACGGGTCCATAGGTTGCTTCAAAACCAACCACCGGAACAACTGGACCAACATCTCGTTAAGTCCTACAGTACTAGGCCGCTAGGCGAGTCCTGTGAGCTGCAGCTGCCACATCAGGATGCTCTGTGTGTGTGTACCTGTTTTAAGGTATATAATGTTTAGGGGTCAGGGTTTAGGGGTTTAGGGTTGGGTTTTGTACGGTAGAGCTTTAGCATAGCCTCGCATTCAAGATGCCAGTCCCATTTCAACAGCGCTGAAGCGATCGCTTCGGTGACCCGAAGCCCATTGAACCCGGAAACATCCCTAAACCAGACTAAACCCCGCGCTCTTAATCCTGAACCCTAAACCCTAAACTCATGCAGTCCTAAACCCTCATGCCTCTGCTTGTGCACGAGTCTGGCCCCGTATCATAGAATTCGTGGAGCGCGGGTGAAGACCCTACAGAAATCTCTGTCGAGTTTTTCTCAAACCCCAGAGGTGCAAACCCTAAACCCTTGTGACCCTTGCAGCCCTTGTAGGCCCTAAACCGTTATAATTATGCCCTCTATAAACCCTAAACCCTCATGACCCTTACAACCCTTATGAACCCTAAACCGTTATAGTTAAACTCTACTGTAAACCCTAAGCCCACATGACCCTTACAACCCTTATGAAGCCTAAACCGTTATAACTAAACCTCATTTTAAAACCTAAACCCTCATGACCCTGACAACCCTTATGAACCCTAAACCGTTATAGCTAAACCCCATTATAAACCCTAAACCGTTATCAGTAAACCCCATCATAAACCTTAAACCCGGTTCTCCCCAGCTTCAGGCAGAGCAGCTGGCCGGCCTGAGGAAGCGGCTTGGGCGCAGCTCGAGGGCTTAGTCTTCTTAGGCCATTTAGGGTTTTTAGGGGTTTAGGGATTTAGGGTTTGGAGGGGTTTAGGATTTGGGGTTTTTAGGGTTCAGGGTTAAGTGTTTAGGGTTCAGGGTTTATCTCAGCGTCTGGCGGGGGTGGGGGTTTAGGGTTTAGTTTGCTTTAAGGTATTGGGCTTCGGGATGTCAGGGCTTAGGGCGAGTTTCCGGAGGGCTTCCGGATTCTAGGGTTTAAAGGAGATTTGTTCAGCTCTTTAGCTCTTTGAAGCGTCTCAAGACTAATGCTGAGGCTTCCTCGGTTGCAATGCCCCGACACCCTGGTTTTGGCGCAGCCCTAAAACCTCAAATCCTCAACCCCCAAACCTCAAGCCCTAAACAACTGAACCCCAAACCCCGAAGCCTTCAATCCCTGAAGCCCTGTGAAGATCGAGGCTGCTTCTTCCTCTCTCAAAAGTTGCTTTGACTTTCATGCTTGACGCCTTCAAGTGGGTGAATCATTAGCAATGAACAGTATCCCGGTATCCCCTTCTCGTTTCTATATGATTGTGGGGTTCCGGGATATTTAGCTCCGCTTCCATGCTTGGTAACGGGGCTTAGAGGGCATAGGGCAACGATCCCTCAAGCCTAAACGCCTGGGCGAGCCCTAAGGTTTCTCTTGATTTTTCGGTACTGCGCCAGTACGCATGTAATATTATGAGAGGTCGGGAGTTGAAAGCATTGCTGCTGTTCAGGGTTTAGGGTTGAGGATGTTTTGCTTCTCTCGACGGCCTCCATTGCAACTGCCCTAAACCCTAAACCCTAAACCCAACTGCGTCCCAACTACTGGCCGAGGATGCCTCCCGTGGTGGTGGCCACACCTGGACGGCTCATCGAATTTTTGGAAGAGGCGAGCCGGAGAGTTCTCCATCCCCAAAGGGTCCAAGTATCATTATGGTAGTATACTTAGACCCTAAGGAAGCTACCTTTTTAGGGTTCCCTAATATGATTTCTTTATATAAGTCCTTGAAAAGGAAGGTTTCGTGGGGTTAAGGTATACTTAGATCCCAAAATACCCTATACGTATAGACCATGAAAATTCTTGGACCCTTTGGGATCATGGGTCATGAGCCGATCCTTGGCTCTTGCCAGAAGCCCTGGAATCCCAGAAATCCAAATACGCCCGGTCAATGGCCCCAGACCGTATTTAAAGGTTCCTGGCCCCAATTCAAGGTACTAAGGTGTAGTACACCTTATTGACTAAGTCCCATAAACTGAACTCTGTGAACTCCCGTGGAACCTTCATTAAAAACCTCCTGTGAAGCCCTTGAAGAATCCTCGTGCAAACCTAAAAACAAGATGACTGGCTTTGCTTGCTAAGTCGCTTTCTCCTGCAAATACCGTGGGTCGGAGCAACGCATGGTCCCATGATCTTATTTGGGGTTCAGGGGTTTGGGGAGCATTCCCGTCGTTCAGAAGGGTTCAGTGTTTTGGGTTGAGTGGGTGTTGATACAATTTTAGGTTTCGGGGCTTCGGACTTACATGTGTAAGGGTGAGCTAAGTGTGGAGTTTGCCGAGTGAATGACAATCGCAGGATGTCTTAGATGCTTGCTTGGAAGCCCCTGCGTCGACATAGAGGATGCCGTTTTGGGTGCAGGGTACTTTGCAGGTTTGCTCTCTACAGAAATTGCCAGTCAAACAGACAGTTCCTGCACATAGGCGAGCCTAATAGAGTCAAATACAGCACAAAGAGACACAATCTAAGCCGGATTTGTGGAAAACCCTGCCGTTGCAATGTTACACATGAGCTTTCCGAGCCGACCTAAACATAACAACCGCTCGGTGGTGCAGCAAAGTGCAAGAGTCAAGAGCTTGCAGTTCGGATGAGGACGTATCATCAAGCCGCGAAAGTGGGTGTGCATCGTGCTTAGATGATGTACCGGTGGAGTGCCTGAAACTTCATAGTCTTTATACTGCTACCCTTTTGCATCCATGACCTGATCAGAGCCCACATCTCCAAATGTGAAGGATCCGCCACCCTGCTGCTTGAGACACGCGCGGCACGTGGTACTGGATGAGGCTTGGAACTCGGGCTGTAGCTTACGAAACAGCCGCAGCGGTGCTTTTAGGATTTTGGTTCGCCTTGAATGGTATTCGATGCCCTCATGGCCGGTACACGGCTGGCTTGTGGTCTCCGAGACAACCAACCCATCTCAGACCTCTGCCACCACAAACTCAGACCACTGCTGCCCGGCGTACTTCAGCCCAGCAAGCCTGCTTGGGTCTTTGCACCTGCTCAAAGCCCGTGCTTCTCACCGCACTGTGGCTCAATGTGATGCTTGAGCGCCGGTAGTATCGGAAGTTATGACTATTATTATTACTACTATTACTATTACTATTACTATTACTATTACGATTACTATTACTATTACTGTTACTATTACTATTACTGTTACTATTACTATTACTATTACTATTACTATTACTATTACTATTACTATTACTGTTTCTATTACTGTTACTATTACTATTACTATTACTATTACTATTACTATTACTATTACTATTACTATTACTATTACTATTACTATTACTATTATTATTACTATTACTATTACTATTACTATTACTATTACTATTACTATTACTATTACTATTATTACTATTACTATTACTATTACTATTACTATTACTATTACTATTACTATTACTATTACTATTACTATTATTATTACTATTACTATTACTATTACTAATACTATTACTATTACTATTACTATTACTATAACTATTACTATTACTATTACTATTACTATTACTATTATTATTACTATTACTATTACTATTACTATTACTATTACTATTACTATTACTATTACTATTACTATTACTATTACTATTACTATTACTATTACTATTACTATGCCCGTGTTGATTATTGCATGTATGTACTTTCAACGCAGTTTTCCCTGACCTGACGAGGCAGATCGGATGTTGGGCGAAGGCTTTGAAGTCCAGGCGCTTTCCCAAGTGAACCGCCGAGGGTTTAGGGTTTCTAGAGCCTCGACTTCTATCTGGACCCAAAGCACCAGAACCCGAACGCCAGAAATGCCGCCATGAAGAGTTCACTCCACGATGTTCTTGATGTGGCGAGATTTCAGGGTTTTGCCACAGACCCCGACCATTCCAGCTTCAGAATTGACTCTGAACAACCCAAAGCCGGGAGCAGACATGCAGGGTAAATATAGGGTCCTAAATAATTAGACTAGGGTGTTGGGGCCCATGATACTAAAGATTATAATGAGGAACCCCCCAATCCCCAAAATAGTACAGGTAATTATTAAGGCCCCTATACTAACTGGATGAGCTCTGAAAGCCATGCCCAAACCCCAGACCGCTAAGTCTAAGCCCGAAGCCCCGTTACTTGTAGTGCCCCAGTGATCGACCGCTGGTCTGTGCTTCGATCTTCTAAGCCGCTCCCCCGCCCTCCGGGCAGGTGCGACAGATTTTGGCAGAGGCGACCATGGCAAACCGCCAGAAGCTTCACTGCTTTGGACTTTGATCTTTTTGTTGTGGCTTGAGCTTCGGGCTCTGAGGGGATCTCAACCAGCAACAGCAGAGTGATGTAGAGTGCGACAACTGTCCCTCATGTGGTTCGTTCGCGACTGTCAATGTCAAGGGCGAGGACTGGATGGGCCCCCTGGGTATATGAAGTGTTTGCACCTGTGTTTGCACCGTCACACTCCGTGACAACACACCGAAACCCCAGACTCTGGACCCGAACGCGTGCACGAAACTCTAAAACTCTAAACTCCTTACATCTTCAACCGGTCAATTCTATGCTTTAGTGTATTAAACAACAATCGTCTGTTCGACTATATTATCCTCAAGACCAACCTTTCAAGGACTCTACTTTTCTCGGCCACCTGGCCACAAGCGGTGAAGGCACCGTGGATTGTTCTTTTGGGCCAGGAACTTACTTATTTATTCATGTTTTGTTTCATTTTTTTTGTTTCGGGGGGGTGTTGTTAGTCTTGAGGGTCTGAAGGTCAAGGGTGTCCCAAACGCTAAACTTCCCTAAACCCCCCAAAACCCCTAAACTCCGAAGCCCCACACTGCCTTAACTTCAGGTCAAGCTGTAGGGTTGGTGGAGGTGAAGCCCATGCCCTGGATTCAGTGACAGGCTTGTAGCCGGAATGTAGGAGGCTGCTCAGGCCGTCGTCCTATTTGAGTCCAGGATTCTGGGGCTTTTCTCCTTGTCTTGGGTTTGGGTTTGGTGATGGCATGTTGGGGGGGGGGAGTACGCAAGATGGCTGTGCTTCCAAAGAGGGCCTTGGTCCACCCGAGCTGATATTATCCATGGGGAGAAGCACCGACGGGCTGGGTTGCTGAGACGCGTCGCGCATCCTGTTTTCAACTGGCGCAGACAGAAGTCCTGAGCTGTGTCACACTTCACCGCTCCAACGCCAGCTCACTGTCGTTGGCTTTGCTCCGTCGTTTAGTCCACCCAAATCCCAATGCACTATGTCCTATAAGCCTCGCATAGCCATAGGGCGGAGCGCTCAAGCATACAACACGAGACCTACCAAGGAGGCAAACCCCGAAGCCCCGAAAACGCCCGAAACCCTGCACCCTAGAACAGCCGTTCTGTAGCCAGGCATTTGCGTTTTCCGTCTTGCGACAGCCCGTCGAGGTTCGTGTGGGTGTTGCTCTGCAGCACTGCGCTCCAGAACTCGGTTCCGACTGTATGGATTAGCATAGTTGGCATTGTAACATGCATCGTCGTCTCATCAATACAAAAGTAGTAGGCGCAGCCGTTGCGGCCATTGCAGCAGCAGCAGCAGTTATAGATGCTCCGCATTAGCCGGAGTTTGGGCTCTGATACTGTATGACTCTAAGGCTGGCGACTCCTCCTTCAGTACCAACCCCAATGTTGTGCAGGACCCGGCTTCTCTTTTGCTTCCGGCCTCGGCATGTTAGGTTCGTTTGGCCTGCAGGTGCTATAGGGGCCTCAACAACTACCTATGCTACTGTAAGGGCTGCTTATGATGATTCTAGTGTAATATATCACCAAAGCCGAATCTAATTATTAAGGCCTTAGGACCAAGCGCATGCTTTCTTCAAGGATGCTGCGAGCAGTGGCCTAAAATGAGAGTTTCAGGATGTCATATTCCTGCGGGACGACTGTGAGAAACCTTCGGCGCTGTGCGCCCTCCTGTGACTTGCAAGCACATAGAGTCAGAGCTGGTTTCCTGCAGCCAAGCCACGAGTACTCCGGCATCTTGTTCAATGACTGTCCATGGCTGCGCTAGGCACCTGTCCGGCTACGAAAGCCTCGCAGAAGGGGGAGGGTTCCAGCAAGCGCCCACGATCCTTAGCAACACCGGCATTTTGAGGCCAATCCATCAACCCCTTCAGGCACAAGCGCGAAGCTTGAAACGTTCAGCACCCAGCCCAACGCGAGGAAAGGGAGGAAGAACGTTAAAGCCATCGTCTTCGTCGCTACGAAGAGAGCCTGCCAGCAGCTGGAGAGGAGCCTACGAGGTGCTAGATTCTGCTAGATGCTGGAGCTTCACCTATACTGCTTCATCTCGTTTAATTTAAGAATTCCGGTTAGGATTGCGGGGAGCATTGATCTTTGAATCTTTTACTGTCGAAGCTGCCAAGACACCGGAGAGCAAGTTTCATGGTTTACACCTTGGCTGAGAGATACAAGGGCTACCCCGCAATGTGTGCACTATCCACGCTTATGCACTTTTCTCGCCTTTCTCCCCGCCCCTTTTTGCCATCTGATCGCAAACCTGAAACCTCAACGCCTGAACACGAAACATAGAATCGCATTCCACCTGGCCACCTGACTGGATTGACAAGATCCGATAAAGGAAATAACCACACCCACGAAGTAGGCTCCTGCAATGCACCTGCAATGCAGGTGCGTGTTGTTTGTGCTTATGTAGAAATCTCGTGATGATTTTCGGTACAGGTTTGGGAAGTTTGCACAGGAGGACACATCTTATACATAATTGTAGAGCCAAAGCCATAGACATTAGTTCAATGTTTGTTCTACCATAGTAGTATGTGGCTTCGAGCTAATGACGAAAGTTTATGCCATCCGGCGTGTTGCCCCAGGCAGAGTGCCTTTAGTTTGTGACGCGATCCACGGCGATCGAAGCCAGCGAGATCGCGAGGTTGGGTCGGTACATCGAAATATCATTGTGCTGCCCAATAAGCTTTGCAAAACTCGCTAGGCTTCCGGAAAGAAGGACCAGTGGAGGTGGAGCATATCCGAAACCTTCCTTAGTATTCCTGCGCCACAGCTTTGGACTATAGGGATCTCCAGAAAGTTGGAATATGGTTTCATGGTAGGATACCCTATGATTTACCATAGAAGGGTTAGGATAATCATATTCCAACTTTCTGGCTTTTACCTTATGTCATTAGGATCCAAGAAGCCTTCCGGTATACCCCGTCAAGGCCCTCACGATAGTCTAAGGGGGTGAGAGGACGGTTCAAGCGCACACAAGAGCGGAACCCTCTCCCCCAAAAAACAATCCAAGTCTCTCCAGCAAGCCCCAATCCTGAGTCAGGGACAGGGTTTCAGCAAGGGCTGCAGGGTTTAGCATTTTGGGATGTAGGCTTTACTGTTTGGGATCTTAAAAAAAGAGCCCGAATCGGAGTCCACCCCTGCAAAAATCGAAGACTCTAAGACTTGTCAAAGCTGGAGCTTGTTGATAGCAAGGAACTTCGGATAATCAAAGTAGGGTTTCAGGAGTTAAAATGTTAATCATTGTAAGCTGTTAAGTAACCCTAGGGAACACGGTCATGTCTATTTCGAAGGTTTCCGAGAATTAGGGGTACCTTCTTCTGGGGTCCTTATAATAAGGATCCTACTATTTTGGGTATGATATTAGGATCCGCTCTTTTTGGAAAGTCCCATTTACCTGCAGCAGGGGTGGTCAATTGGAGAAGGGCTCGGGCTTCCAGGGTTCCGGAGGCCCCACAGTAAACCCCAGAAAGTTGGAACATGGTTTTGGGAGGATTGGTGCTAGGATCCCTTATACTTTACCCTAAGGGCATGGGGATGATGTTCCAACTTTCTGGCTTCTACTGTAAACCCTAAACCCTAAACCGTTCCGAAGACGCAGGCTGTTCTGGACCATTTCCGGAAGGCCCAGGTGCAGGACGGGTCGGGGGCAGACTTCGGCTTTTTGTTCTGAGGTCTTAGGAGTTTGTGATCGCAATTTTCGTAACCCCTAGGAGTCCTATGAGTTGTAAGTCCATGCTAATCCTGTTTCAGCCCGAAGTGTGCGGCAGGAAGGGCAGGGTTTGAGTGTTCCTGCATCATGCTGATATCCGGGCTTCGAAGGTTCGGGCATATATGGTTGTTTTAAATGTGTTGGGTGGCAACCTTCTATATTTTGGCCTCGGAGGCGGGGATGGGTCCCTCATATCCTGCACAATTTGTCCGAAACGAGGCATATTCTTGTCAACGTTATTGTGATTTGATTTCCTGCCGCTTGAATGGGCATCGCCGAAGTGCAAGAGTCGCGCAAACAGCATCGCGCAAGGTCCTGCTCGCCACGGATGTTGCCGGGCGGGGCATCGACGTGAGCAATGTCAATCTTGCCGCTCGGTCGGTGCATTATCAGAGCTTACCCCTTCCCAGCCGGGTGACTCCTGTGAACTGATGAGGATCGGTCCGCCAGTATTAACAAACCCTCACTTGGTCGCAAATCCCTTCTGATCTTTCTAGTTGGAAGCACTCGGCCCATCAGGTGGTCAACTACGACTGCCCTCGTAACGCCGAGGACTACATACACCGCATGTTGGCTGCAGGGGATGGTTTCGTGGACCCGGGATAGGCTTCGGTCTTGGGTGGAGCCTTTCACTGGCAGTCTGCTGCAGTTTGTATGGTTGTCGTCAGTGTAATATGTCGATGGCAGTGACCGCGGGTGAAGCAGAAGGCCATGATCATGACCCAGCCCATGCTTACACCCGCGGTAGGGATGATGATGATGGTGGTGGCGGCGGTGGTGCTGCTGGTGGTCATCATCAGCATCATGGCCATCATCGACACCATCATACTCACGCATCGTCATGGTGGCCATGATGATGGTTTCTGTAATCATTTGCTTTGGTTATGATGCCAGTAGGAGCTTGACTTTTTATGTTCTCTCCAAGGCGCGTGAAGACAGATTTTAAACTCGTTCATGTTCATATCGCAAGGCCAGAATGTTACATCCATGTGTTCATGTTGGCCAGGGACCGGGACCTTGAGCATTCTTGGCCCGGACTTGCGGATCCAGGAACTTTTTGCGAGCCGAGGGTCACTGGCAACGTTCTAACATGGAAGCCGTAATAATTACCGCTGTTGTTTCCGAATCTCTAAACCCTCAACCCTGAACATCCCTGAACCCTAAACCCCCTAAACCCCCTAAACCCTAAACCCTTGCAGAAAAACATGACCTGGAAGCTCCAACCTCACAGCCTGGTAATTGCCAGTACGTTTCTGTCCAGGTATCGGTCGAACCGGCCGGCAGGGGAGCCTCGATCCAAACAAGCCACGGAATTGTGTTGAGGGAGGGAAGTGTGTGTAATATAGAAGCCTAAATAATTGCCAAGATCATTTTGAGAGGGCTCCTTCTCACAATGACATTATAAAGCCCTTTTCCACTTATTAATGCCCCTAGATTATGTCTGCGGTATCACGTCGTGTTGTTGACCTGCGGCTTTGGGAGCCATGTTCGGCTGGTCAGGGTGTTGGCGTCTCTTCCCTTCCGAAACTCCCAGATTCGCAAACTTTGACAGGGAGCGTTTTGTTTTGGGCTTGGAGTTGGTCGGTCATGCAGACTGATCGCATGCCTTGCAGGGAAAGGTTGTTGTTCGCAGACAGTTCAGTGGGACTGTTCTTTTATGAATTACGTACTTATACATACAGTCTCCAATGTAGTGCCCTGTTGGGTTACCTTCTCGGATCTTAGGTATATACAAGTTAATCACTCATATGCGAATGTTCTGCTGTTTCTTGGTCGATCTCCGTGCTCCTGGCAAAAGACACCGGCAACGCTTGAAACGATGTATGGGCCTGACACGCTGTTCTTCGTGAAGCCGTAGAACCAAGGGCTTCGGGTATATAGATACAGTTTTGTTGGTTCTTGCCAGGCACATTTCCCAACCTGTACACATGTGACAACCAGTCGAACGCGTGGGGTCGACGACAAGTATAGGGTAGTAGGGAACCGAGCGACGAGGTGTGTCGTTCTGCAACCCTTGTTGAAACCCTAAACCCTAAACCCTAAACCCTAAACCCTATGATGCAACAAGGACAAGGACAAACCCATCGAGTCCCTGCGAGTGCTTTTGGGTTGCTCTGCAGCAGTCCGAGGAAAGGCGTGGCCATTTCCATACTGACCGACCGTGAGCAAGATGCCATGGAACTGATAGCCAGCGTGATCGAGAAGGCCACAGCAGCATGCCCAAAGTTTTCGAATCTGCTTCTGAGTGAGTCTCCTGGGCTCCGGTGCATCCCAGAAGCCGACTCCCCACAGCTCGACTCCCCACGAACTCGAGATCCTCAAGCTGCGAAAGCCTGAAGCTGCAAGTTCGAACCGCACTGCCCACAACCTCTCCGCCCTGATTCCTCTGAGCCCCGAACCCTTAACCCCATGCCTATGATGGTGTTCGGTGGTGAATCCCTCTAAAGCAAAACTAAAAAAAGAACCCTTAAAGGGAACTCCAGAAAGTTGGAATATGGATTAATGGTAGGATCACCTATAATTTACCTTAAAGGGGTTACCATAATGATATTCCAACTTTCTGGCTTCTACTGTAACCCTTAACCCCAGTTCCGACAGCCATCCCTGCAATTCCCCAGTGGCGAGGCAGGCACTCGAATGCCGCCAGAGCTGGCAAAAAGGCTTGGGGGGGGGGTTCGGGGTTTGGGGCTTAAGGTTTAGGGGTTTTAGGGTTTAGGGTTTATGGTTTTGGAGTTTAGGGGTTTAGGGGTTTAGGGTTTATGGTTTAAGGTTTATGGTTTGGGGTTTAGGGTTTAGGGTTTATTGTTTTGTGGTTTAGGGTTTATGGTTTTAGGGTTTAGGGGTTTAGGATTTATGGTTTTGGGTTTAGGCTTTATGGTTTGGGGTTTAGGGGTCAGGGGTTTAGGGCTTCGAGATCATTATGTAATGCAGGATCAAGCAGAAAGCGTTGAGGCCGAAGCGGGCAGTCCTTGTGCTATCTTGGAAAGATCTAGTGTCTTAAGCAAATCAAGGCTTTCGGCTCATCCAATACAAGATGCAGTTTGATTGATATAGCTGTGCTGATCAAAGCCCGGCTAAGGTCTAATGACTCTACTCTAGTTCACCGCACGACCCTATTCTAACGAAAGCCCCCCATACCAAACTTGCAGTAACCCTTGTGGTGACTCTTGTAGACCCACACGAGAACCACACGACTAAGCCCTCAAGCCGAAAAGGTCGAGTTGCAGGGCTGACGTGCTGGGAGTCAGGGTCAACGGAGTTAGGGTTTCGGGGCTTGGGGTTTGGAGGCTTAGGGTTTACAGCTTTAGGGGCTGTAGGTTGTAGGGCTTCAGGGTTTGTTGGTCAGCTGGACTCCTTGATGCACTAGTCGGGTGCAGGCAGTGTTAGTGGCCTAGGATGTAGATGCAGGAGTCTGCAATAAAGAACCTCTGCAACGAACCCGACCCTCAATGCGCAACGCGTGCGGCTCCCAACCAACCGTAGGAAGGCCTCACGAATGAGCCGCATCCCAACAACTCCAGCCTCCTGGAGCCTCAAACTTCGCAACCAAGAAGATTCGGCTGCTAAGCTCGGGAGGATGGGTATGCTTTTGGGCGGCGACAAGAAGGTGGATCCGCGGATGCATTGGAAGGCCGGCAAGACCTTGGTTTGCTTGAGTTTCATGACTCATAACTTTGTCTGTAAAGAATCTACCGCAGAAGAAGTGACACCGTGCAGTTAAGGAGTTGGGTTCGTGCTCGATAGGTTTCTACAGAAGGAGTTCTGGGTCAAGCGTTTTGAAAATTGTCTTGGCAGACAAGAAAGAAAATGCATGCTTCCTTCCATTTGCGCATCTTCTGTCTCTCCTGTAATGGCTAAAGCCTTAAGCGCGAACCTGAGCCCCTGGCTACCCCGCTACCCCATCTCGGCTTCCAAGACTAGAAGCAAGACTGATCATGTAGGAGTTTGCGAAAAAAGAGGGAACATGAAAATGATCCAGCTGCGAGAAGCCTGCATGTCAGAACCCCCAAAACAGTACTCCTGATAACATACGTGCCTAAACAACTACCAATACTATTGTGGGGCTTCCATATTATGATTATGGCATAATATGCCTCCAAACCCTATACTGACTATTCAGGCCCCTATACTAGCAAGAATCCCTGTGTGTATCAGCCTTGCCCGCATCCACGTCTAAATCCCAAGCTGCCGATAGCAAGGTTCCTACAAGCGCATGGCAAATCCTAGACTTCCTATAATGTACGGCGCCTTAAGCCTTGAGATTTGGAAATAGGGTTTGGAGTGTATTATACTACACTTAGCATAGAAACCCCCAAATAGTATAGCTAACTACTAAGGCTTCTACACTTAGACCTCATTTCCTAAAATGAATCATGGATTCAACGGAGGCAGCTTTGATGTTTAGGTGTGCTTTCCAACAGTTTCAAAACTCCCATATTAATATGGCTATATCCGAATATCCGTGCAAGTTTATGATTAGAACAAGAAGTCTATGAGCAGGCTTAACCTAGGGAGTTCAAGAGAAGGGTGCGCTTGCCAACATCCTTGCGTTTCCTTAAGAATACCATCGCACAGCCTTACAAGAAATCAGTTCTCCGAACACCCAACCACTAGCCTTCCACCCCACCCCCGATCCTGAGCCTTGAAAACGCAAGACCCAGTTAAGACTGAGTGACGGGAGGAACCTTGGCAGGGATTGGACGGCAACAGCTACCAGAAGGAGGAGCGATGACACCGTCCTCATGAAACTTTAAAAGGCACCAGAACTCCCCGCACCTTCAAGGCCCTATAAAACCTAAGCCTTGAAGGCCTTGAACTCTGCACCTAGATCCTTGGAGCTCGGGACCCTAGGCCCTGAGCTGTTTCTCAGCTGTAAGAGCTCCGTGCTTCGGATCTTCGGGCATGGAAAGGGAAAGGGGTATCGAAGCTTTCGGGTGCAGGGCGGGGCTTGGGTCTCAGAGAGGTCGGGGGTTACAGGGGTTCAGGGCTGACGTGATTTGGGACGTAAGGTGAACGGGTCTAGGGTCTCAGGGCTGATAGGTTTTTGAAAAAGGGTCCTTCCCAGAACCTGAACCCCTTGAAGCGAGCCAGGACCTGAAGAGTGCAGTGGAGTCTCTCTGGACATGATGTGAGCTGCGCGTGGAATGATCTGCGCATGGAATGCTAATTTCCGGCGGGGCATCTCGGCTTTGATCAGGTTTATAGAACTCAGCAGAAAGTCCTTAGTACGGTGCATGCGTTTTTGGTTCTCGCTTCGCTGGAGTTTTGCGTCATGTGCACCGCAGTCACCATGATACTCTTTTAAGCTTTAAGCTTTGGCTTAGGTGCAGCACCGCCTGTCCTCGTGGTGACCTATGTTTCCCTGGTACAGCTGTTTCTTTCCAGAAGGAGCGAGCTGCAGCTGAACTTTGGATGTCATTCACGATTTCTGTCGAATCTGGCCCTGGCACAACTTGTCCATCAAGCTGCTTGTGGCAGCTCCGATTCAGCGCGGAACTGAACAAGAAGGAGGACCAGGAAAAGGAAGGAGTATGCCTGTCACAGTCACAGGTTTTCCTGAGAGGCATCGGCCCAGTTTGCCAAAGGGCCGCCGAACAAGATGTGGAAGCATCAGACACCGATGATTCAGATGACATACTCCCTGTGGAGTCTCCAGAGCTGAACATCGCTGGCTTGAGTCCGTGGACATTGCGCTGTGAGACCGAGTTTTGATGTCAGACCCGAGTCCCATCGGCTCAGTTCCCGAGGCTCATCGATGATTCTCGTTCACCATGCGAGACTGTTGGTTGAGCTTCGTTAGAGGTGCGCTTGACGATGGCCCACCCGTGTTCAACACCTAACACTGGGCTATCAGAAAAAGCTGGTTACGAAGAACATGCTGCCTGGCACATTCTTGCGGAAAGCCTGTTGTAATCTTCTTAAGCTGAAACCGTAGGCACCCGAATCCTGAAACTCTGCTCTTCCGAAGACGCTGCAGGAGTGGTGGTAGCTGTAGCAGTGCCAGCAGCTAGGAGTACTAGCATTACCGAGCATTAGGAGCAGTAGGAGGAGAGGAGGTGGGGCAAACGCACGGGTGCGAGCAGGAAGGGGATTTGGAACGTAGGGAATTCGGAATGTCAGTGGCAGTGGGGGTAACTAGGGATAGGTGGGACGAACAACAGCTGGAGCAACAGCAGCATCAGCAGCAAAACGCCCCCAACCGCCGCTGGCATCATCGTCGTCAATAAAAGTCCTGACAATCGTCATCACCGCACTCGCACTACCACTGTCATTAATGCCACTATGTTTATCTACTCTGCATTCATCATCGGAGAGGCTTTCAGAAGCCCGAAAGGGTGTTGGACTTAACATGCGGATAAGATGCAGACCCTTGACAAGGCACCTCTGGCATAGACATTCTTCGTCGTAGAGACAGCAGCCCGCTTTGCTAGAGGAGCGAAGCTCGCGTGCCACGCTCGTGCACCGAGAAGAAACCAGGAGGGCATACAGAGAGTAAGGGGCTTTGCTACCTTGCGCTTACCTTGGATCCCTTGTGTCCGAAAGTCTCATATTATTGAGCCGTGCCAGCTTGCACGGCGGAAGGCTAGCCGGCGCTGACTTGTACAGAAGCTTCGACGCGGAAAGCAGCGCAAGCTCGCAACATGCCTCTTCTCCATCGCTTGGTTTAATTTTCAGTTAAGCAAGAATCGCTTGCCGCAGCGCCGCTCAAGAAACGTGCCAGACTTGAGTGCGCTTTCTTGGCGAATGTCGATTTTATGTACCGAATCCAAACATCCGTCCGTTTGTTATCACCACTTCTGTCACGATAAGACCACCCTTGGTCACGACGAAAATTATGTTGTAGAGCAATTGGGAGACGAAGGGAGTCCAATTGGGAGGTCGAGGTGTAAATATGAAAAGTAGGAGCACGATACTACCGCAGATGTTAGCAGTTAACAGTGTCTATAACTTTTCGGATCCGCGACATTGTCATGGAGTTGCCATGTAAGCAAGATCGAACTCAACGCAGTCTAGTCTGGCTTTCACTTGTGAAGCATCCGCGGTTTCAAGTCAAGGCTTCGAAACTTTGACACTAAAAGAGTCAAGCTCAACTCGAGCAGAATGTCCGAGCAGGGTGGTCACAGCGTCACGCCAGAGATGCAGCGCGTCATCAACGTGCTCAAGAAGACGAGCACGCCAGGGGTCTCAGCGTTGGGGCATTCGGAAGAGCCGCGAGTCCCAAAAACTATTAAGAGGAGGCACTTTGGCACAGGCACTATATCTCTTGAAGTCTCCAAAGCCAAAGCTTTCAGTTCGTGAAGCAAAGCTGCAAGTTTGGGCTCTGGGCAGTCTGGCCGCGAGCTGGAAATTCTGTAGATCTGAGTGGTTCTGCCTGAACGTTGTGCGGATCTACGGCAGGTGTCCCATTGAAATCTGCTGAGCTTAGAGAACTCGCAGCCCCAAGTGACAAATGACAAAGCCTATGTCCTAGAGCCTGACGAGTTGGGTGCACAAAGGTTCGACAAGGTGAGCTACTGGAACTGGAACCTTGCCCCCATGACAGACGATGCCGCTCGGTGGGGTGTGGTGAGACAGTTCAGCGCTTTGGCTTTGTCGGGATCCCGTCGAAGACGCCTAAGCACAGAAGCCACCAAGCCCGAAACATTGCAATACGGGCCTTCATAACTAGGCCCAACTAGGCAGGTTTTTGGACTTCTTTCATTCTGCATAACCAGAACACGGAAATCTTTAGAATGACGAACATAGGAAGCTGCTCTGGCAATAGTCGAAACCCTCAACCGTGACCCTCAACCCTCAACCCTAGACCCTCAGCCCTACACCCTTAATAATAATAATAATAGTAATAATAATCACGGCCTTGTTGCTGCGAGGCCAAGGGAGCGAAAAGCCCGGAGGCAGGGCTGGGTTGGGGTTCAGGGCTCAGGATTAAGGAGTCTGGGGTTTGGGGCTTAGGGGTTTAGGGGTTTAAGGGTTAAGGGTGTATGGTTTAGGGGTTTAGGGTTTATGGTTTAGGGGTTTAGGGTTTATGGTTTGGGGTTTAGGGTTTATGGTTTGGGGTTTGGGGCTTAGGGGGTTAGGTCCAGGGCTTAGGGGTTTCAGGATGTAGGGGTTTGAGGGCTGTGAAGGCGTTGATAGGATTCAACAGGTTGGCATATTGCCAGCCTCCGAGAGTTGAAGGTTCAAGTCTGTAATCATCACTAGAGAGGTATCTCTCCGTCACATCGACATCGAAGCATACATGTATGAAGCAGATTGGGTATCCTTTCGCAGCCGTATCTAGTCCGGCACGTACTTACCGTCACAATGCCTTAGCAAGTGTATGATGCGTGCATTATCATAATCACTGGCCATCTGCCTGATGGACTGAGCCTTCTCCAATCAGAGAGGTTGCACACGCTGCCCATCCGACATCGGATGCCTTCAGCATGTAAAAACCCATGCCGCAGCCAAACGTCAAGCCAGTGCAGATGCATGGGCCTCTGAGAATGACATTCAGGAGCTGTGTAGAGAAACTCTGCGATGCCCTAAGTTTCATGGCTATATGGTCCCTGAAACTCATGTTCACGGGCAGTGGGGTAAGAGCCCATTCCAATTCAACCTGGCTTCCGAAAACCCCTCCGATAACTTACGAACGTGTGACCTCATAGGGGTCCATTCCCTACTAAGCACCAAGGCTTTGTTCATGGTTTCTTAGATCACTGTTTCTCATTTTCTGGGGATGCCCGAACCCCCGACCTTTAGATTTCCAGTCCTCTACTCTGACACAGCAAGCGCAAGCACGACTCATCTCTCAGCTGAACCAACCCCTGAACCCTTAACCTTGCGCAATGACCCAATGTGACAAGTTCGGAGAGCTGTAGCTCAAAGGTTCTTGACATGTGGAATGGTCGGGTCGGGGGTTGCACTTTCTCTTAGAGGATGGGAAGTCTGGTTGAAGGAGTCGGCTTCCGGTTTCGACATTGGTCAAAATTGTTCAAGAGCTGCCTTCAGAAACTCGACGACTGTCGTTCAGGTGTTATCCGCAGAGTTCCTCTTCATGCCCGAGCAGCAACTTGAAGTCTTCATTCATTTCAGGGGCTCTTCCTTCTGTGGTCCCGAATTCCGTCCTGAGTTTTAGATATTTTAGCTACAGAAGCGCTTTTCAACAGCTCCGTGTGACAGAGGTCATCGTTTTCCTCTCGATTTCGGAAAGGAAGGCGTCGTGTAGATGCATCGCAGGATTACCACCTGCTGTGAGCTGTGTGCATGCACATGCTCTTGTACATCAAGCGGTCTCGAGTAGGATCCAATCCGAGGTCAGGTTGTCTTTGGGTTAAGCCGTTGTGGAGAGTCCCACATACGCTTCCTACCGGAGCCACCCACTGCGAGTTCCACGACTCCGTTGTCCTGAAGCGCAAACACAGGTGGGGTGCCAACACAGTCGAGGACAAATACCTGAGAAAAGCTTGGTCCTCAGGTCTCAGGCCTTCCACTTCAGTTCGTCTTGGGAAAAACGGTCCTCAGTTAAGACTTCTTAGGGCCTCGGCCACGGTTAGAATGCAGAGTTAAGATCTAGTTGTCTTTGGTACTTGCGTGCAGGCTCAGCGAGCTTGATAGTGGATACATTATCAGATCAGGAACGTTGGTGGATTGTAAATCCTCGAGTGAAGATTGACACCATCGCTGCGCCTGAAGCCAACATGGGAGTTTCCGAAAATTAGGGGTAGCTTATTTTGGGGGTCCTTATAATGAGGATCCACCTATGTTGGGTGTTATATTGGGGTCCCCTATTTTCGGAAGCTCCCACATGAGGAGCCCGAGGCAAGCCGAGCCCGAACCTGACCAGGCTTGGATCGTGTTGCACATAGCCCTTCGCTGATTCGAATCCATCAAACCTTGTCAGTGCAGACTAAGACTGCCCACGCATAGTGAGACTGGGTACGAACATCTCTCATCTGTACATACATCTTCTACAGTCTACACATGGCCTCATGCAGACATATACAGCTTTTGCACAGAAGTTGTAGCGCGCGAGCCTGCGCGTCAAAGGTAAACAAAACCCAAACCCATTCCATACGCGCGTAGATTGCAGATTGCTCGAAACAAGACCAGTACTTCACCGCTTGCTCGTGCGGAGATTTGTAACA